CATTTCTGCTACAGCACCCTTACCAGCTAATCAATCTGAGAACAACACTACTAGTTGCAAGGCTAAATTGACCATTTTTTCCTTGCTGCCACCTTGAAGGAATTCCCAGTGTTTGCTAAAAGCTAAACTATGTTTCAATGTGACATGCTACTCTTCACAAATGACATCCATTTCCCACCAAATACTTCCTCTTTCATACAACTGATGTTTTGTGTTTCCCCTACTTTTTGTTCCTTTGATCTTTGTGAACATAATGGTTTTTAGACAGAAACATTATTTGTGTGTGTTCTTATTGAAAATATCTCTGCTGCTTTGTGAAGCACAGCTGAGAGAAGCCTTAATTCGATAAGAATTATTATTTCACAGAGAGAGTGCTGTTGCATTAGCTAAGCACTGTATTTAAATTGCTTTTTGGTACAATGGGTCTCACTTGGACTATTTGGATAGTTCAATACTGTACACGGTAAGGTAGAATTGCCCTAATAAAATCAAACTACAAGTGCATTTCATCTGTTATTGGGTACTTTCAGTGCTTCATAATTAACTTTGGTCAAAAATTACCCCTTTAAGCCCAAGAGATTAATTCTCCCTTAACTATATTTGTGTATAACAGGAAAAACAATCATGCCTTGGTTTCCCAGCCTTGGATGAGCAGTTTATGGCATTTTTTAACCTACAATAACTGTGGATGAATTCCAGGTCTGTGATTGCCGCTTACAAAGTGAATTTCACGCTGATTTCTTTTTATTTAACTCCAGGAACATAAACACCCTAAACTAGGGTTTCAGCAACACGCTTGCAGTGCTTGGCCTAGCAGTCTGGTTATGAGGGAGATCCCTATGCTAGGTCTGAACAAGGCAGTTTGGGTTGAGGAAGCTGCCCCAACAACAAGCCCACGGACAGGTGCTCTTGTACAGCACCTGTTCAACATGCACCCTTCCTGCATGTAGTAGTTTAACATCTTTTTGATACCTTTTTTTTTTTTTACATTGGACCACTCACTTTTTAGTTATGCTTCCACCTCCAATTATTTCCCTTCACTGCCACTCATCAGCTGGTCTAGCCCTTATCCCTCTCCTTGAAGGATGTCTCAATAGCAGTGAAGGCACTGATCTTGTGATTGTCAGACAGTTTTTGTTACTCTTCTTAACATATATTGCCCTCTTGAAAGAAGACAAATGAGGAAGCCTGGTGATTTCTGTCAGAGTCAAGGAGAGGCTCTCAAGTAAAGCTCTTACCAAGTTATTTGGGCTCTACTAAAACAATGCAGTGACAAAAGAGCATCTGCAGTCAACCTCTATATACAGGCAATCACAAGGATAGCAACTTGCATTACAAAGACTCAATTACTACAAATATTTAATGTCCCCAAAAAAATCTCATAATTCCTCTCTCTTAACTATTTTGGGATGATGCTCAGCAGGAATTTTAAGCAGTCCAAGAATTTGAAAATAATTTGATTTTTTTTTATTTTTTTTTTTGCTTTTCTTTTTACTGTTTTTGATTAGCTTACAACCCAATTAGCAAAACATTTAGGAGTCTAAAGTTACTTTCACAGAACTATGGAATTGTTTGAGTTTGACCCTTAAAGGCCATCTGGTCGAACTCCCCTGCAATGAACAGGGACCACTACAGCTCCATCAGATGTTCAGAGCCCATCCAGCCTGATCTTGAATGTCTCCAGAATAGAGCATTTATCTATTTACCTACCTGGGCAACCTGTGCCAGTGCTTCATCACTCTCACTGTAAAAAAACCTTCTTCTTATATCCAATCTAAAATTCCCCTTTTACCTTGAAACCATTTCCCCTTGGCCTATCACTCTGCTAAAGAATCTGTCCCTTTTCAAAAGTAAATACAGGAAAATATTCACTAATGCATATTAAATAGTTTTTCATATATTTCTACTCTTATGTCACGACTAAAGAAAACTAGATCACAAAAAGAAAACATGGATCACTAATAACAGCCACCTCTGCATTAAACCAGGCATTTATGAGCTCTGCTGCTCCTAATACAACTGATATTGGGCTCTGTAGGATTCTTTTTTTGGGATACATGAGCCTTTCTGTTGCATGGAGGTTGCTGAAAACCTGAGAAGTCTCAGCAGCAAAGTCAGACCTGGGTCAAAGAAGTGCCAAACCAATTCTTGCAGCCCAACTACTATCTTATGAGCTTAGCATGTAAGAAAAATCTATGCACATACTGCCACCTAATTTTTCTCCATCTAAACTGCTGCAGACAGAAGTATTTTAAGAAAGGTACATAGAGAAAAGGGCCATACAGGGCTTGCTGGTGCACCAGGAGGACGGCTACCTTGTCTGTCCCCAGGAAGTTGACCAGCTTGTAGAGCAGCCACCAATAAATGAATTAAGCTATACGAACTGAAGGTCATTCATCAGCTAAACAGGGACAGAAAGTCTATTGAGAATGTACGTGGCATCGCTCAGAGCGTATCAGTCTTTGTGATGTCTGCACATGACTGAAGGCCTGTGGGATGGAGAAGAAAAAGAAGGGAAGAAGCAGAAATGACTGGCACAGTGGCATGCTGCCTGTGTTGAAGGGGAAATCAGTCTGTCTGTTAAACAGAGGAAGAAGAAAAAGGAGACATACAGATGGTCTGGCTCCCAGTGGTGACAGAAGCAGTTGGTCTCCTCTCCTTCTGTTTGCGACAGTTGTTGTCACCTTATTTTGAAGTCTCCAAAAGAAGAGGTGGGAGTCACTAAGCTACTGAAAAAAGCAAATGGATGAAAATGGATTGTGTAACTAATCTTAACCGTTTGGTCTAGAAGCAGTGATTGAGGCTGGCGGCACTGGTGACAGCCCGCAACAGCTGATGGTGCACCTCTCTCCCAGAAACTGCAGCCTAAGAAGGAAAGAAAGGTTTCCACTGTTTGTTACAGAAAAAAAGGTCTTTGTGAGTCAAGCCAGCTACTGAGTACATGCTTGTACCAGCTCTGGACCCACAGTCTGCCATCTCGCTTGGGCCCATTTTACCACAGCATCTTTTTAACCAGACTTAAGGATACCTTATGCACACACAATGCTATCAGAATAGGAAGGTACAAAAGGATGTCCCCCCAGAATAAGGCTCCTTCCCCTATGAAATCTGTGCTGCTCCCAAAACACACTATTTCACCTACGAATGCTCCAACAAACTTTTGTATGTGTAGGGAGAGAAGGATGGATCTTGATTTAGGGAGGAATAAAGGATTTGATCTCAGGAAACTTTACTTTCTCTGCAAAGCGCTACCCACATCTCTTTTCCTGTCAGGGTGGCAGAAAAAAAACATTTACTTTTGCAAAGATAAAATTTTCAGAAGTGTATAAAATGCTTTAGGACCCTTTTGGCCTTTTTTCAAAATAAATCCTACTTACTTTCCCTTAAAAAGGGCCAAAAAAAAAAAAAAAATCAGTTTTTTTTAAAGGATTTTTTTTCAAACAGTCTACTAATTTCAAAGAAAGCCAGATCTCCAGCAGAGAGAGCAAGTAAAATTACAAGAATTTAAAGCAGATCAAATATCAACTCCTTGCATGGATACCACCATAGTTTGTTTCAATTTCATTTTGCTTAATTCTCTATGGAACAGAAGCATGCTCAATCAGATTAAGGCTACTTTGATTGACATCTGCCCCATTTAATGTTACACCTTACATTTCTTCAGATGAAAGTCCCCTCCCACATTTAGAAAAGTCCAAAGCAAGTAAAAACTTGGACCTAAATCACTACCAGTAACAGGACCTGATTGCCTAAGTTATTTAGATGCTAAAGGACATTTTAACCATGATTGTGATTTTTTTTTTTCCTGCTGGAAATCTGTGCTGAGATGGGCTGTACCAACAAGCCCTTGTCATCCACATGTGATCACAACCCATGAGTGCTCTGCAGACCCTGGAACTGCCCCAGCAGCTGCGTGGCAAATTGTGCAAGGACCCCATTTCTTCTGTTCTAAAAGAATGCAAACTGAGACTGAAAAAAAACACAAGGTGGTGTTAATGTCACCAATCACAGAACAAACTTTAACCATGAACTGACTCACACCACTGCTGCACTTTTGGTCTGACAGGTGATCCTCAGAGTGCAGAATGGGACAATAAGAGTATTTCTGGAGAGAAACTGAAGGACAGCGATAGACACAAAAGAAGGCAGCCTGGATGCTGCTCACCACTCATGGTGATCTAGGCTGGGCCATCGCTTTTCCCAGTATCACAGCAGAGAGAGCTAACGAGAACTTGTTTCCCATCTCACAACACAACTTGAGCTGTCCAGAGATTGCTTCACCCCTAGTATGCTCCAGGAAAGCTGTATTTGCAACCCAAGATCTAAGGACAAGATGACATGCAGATTTTTTTTTCCCCTCTTTTTCTCTCTTTTTCTAAGCAAGAAAAATTAAAACACTGATAGAAACCCCCTACAGCCCTTTCGGCCAGAAGATTTCAGATTAGGCCATATCTTTCCAGAGACCAATCATCCAAACTAACACATAGAGACTTTAACATTCTTTTTAAAATACAGTGCCCAGCATTAGATCAATTAGATTTTGGGAAAACTAGTTCTCCTCATACCTGCTGTCAGCAAGTGGTGACTGCAAGGTTCAGCAGTGACATGCATGCACAGCTAGAATTGGTATAGATTAGGGAGGGTTTGCATTTCTGCAAGACAGACAATGCTGGAGAGCATTATCATTGTGCTGTTACACCCTGTGACTCAGCACAGACTCCAGTACCTCCCTGCACACCCAGGAGAAAGATTTTTCTCTTTCTTTCCAAAGGCTGAGCCCAAAATAAGCAGAGTGTGTTACACAGGAGAAATGGTTCTCTCATCACCCACAGTTGCCTTCAGCTCTGTCATATTAGACATAAACATGGAAGATCCCTCTCTTCCATGGCATCCCCTTGGTGATGCCATCCAAAGCAAAGCCCCAAGTTCCTGTGCAAAAGCAGAAATGATGCCCAGCAAGGCACCACTGAGTTACCGTTAAACCATATTCCAAAGTTTACCTTAGTTCCTTGAAGGGGTCTGCCCTGACATTGGGAGTTTCTATAGATTTAGGGAACACTGTGCCTTCTGCTCCTGAAATCACAAAACAAAACAGAAGACAAATTGTAAACATTATAAGCTGTTATCAGGGGAGTGATTGTCAAATCATACCTAGGTGCAATTTTAATCTGACCCCATTTCCCCATTGCCTGACCCCATTTCTCTCTCACACACACCCCTTCTGTCCCCAGGAAAAGCTAAATCCTTATCATCTGAAATTGGTTGTCTCAATTACAATTGGGACTTGCCTGTAAGCTGCACTTCAGGCTGTAAAATTTGTGTCCTGAATATGGGAGGTGTTTGCTGACCCAGCTGATGCAGGGAGCTTGGAACAGATACCTCTTTAATAACCAATGCAGCTACATCTCTCACTAATGAACCTGGATGCATGTCATGAAATTATTTCTTTTGTTGGGCTCTGAGAAATAATCAAAGGAAAACCAAATTTTGGCTCAATTACTGCAGGCATCTCTCAGGTCAGGCTGTGCTCTTGTCATTTCTGCAACAGGTCCACGAATGAGCCACGCTGTGTCTCTTTAGAAAAATGTGCTCTCCAAATTTCATTTCTAAGCCAAAGAGAGCCCATAAAATAAGCTTTTCCACTAATTGTTCTAATTTTAAAAAGGGCATCTAATCAGAATTGTTCCTTTCACTAAATGTTCTTACATCATTGCATGCCAACCAATGGACACTGCATGAACACAAATCTTCACCTTTCTCCTGCATTTATTTAATGACAATGACCCAACCACCTCAACTTTTTCTTCAGTTCTTCAAAATGTTATGGCTTTCTGTTCTGTGAACATGAATCATTCATGTTTTCCAGACTTTCTACTGCTCTTTTCTGAACTCATTCCCCTTCTAAAACATTCTGTTTGAGACCTCACCACTGGACACAGCTGTCCCCAGGGGGTGTCACCAACCCTCCATGCTGCATTATGCCACTTATCGTCCTCATTGAAACATTCAGTGCTAGCACATCAGTGAATGATATATTCTTACCCATGGCAATGAACAAGAAATTCATGTTCTTGTTGTCCTGAACATAGCTGCCTACCCAGGGAACAAATTTGACCTACAATCCTACATCCAGACCTTACATGCATTTACACTGTGACCAACTAGCCATTCATTATCTGCGTTCCTCACAGCAATTTCAGTGTCTGCATGCAAACTGTACCAGTGGCATTTTTTAATGTCCTTATTTTTTTTTTCTTTGATAAAGCTTCTGATGCCAGCTACAGACCCTGATGGGATCATTTAGATATGTTTGAGATTGTTTTTAATATGTCCTATTAAAATTGTTACCTATGAGCACATTGGAAGACGATGCAAAATGTAAACACAACACCTTTTTGTAACTACTATTATAAGGGAGAAACACTCATGGCTTTGATGTGAGTACACTGTCTTTGCACTGAGATAGATTAATGAAGCCATCCCTATGAGTTAACAGAAAAAAATGGAATGAAAATAATCACTCTCAACGTTTGTAAAACAAAAAAACAACTCCTTTTTAACCTAGAGAAAAACAAAGTAATCTCAAAAATGACAAAAGCAGTCTAAAGTCTGAAGCTTTATACTTGGGAATTGAAATTGATTCCATGGCCCAATATAGATATTTAGCTCTTAAGTTAACTATAAGCCTTCATCGTTACAAGTTGTCAGAAGCAGGTGCAGCTTGCCAACCATGAAGGTTATTATTATCTGATCTGTCCTCTCTCAACAGTTTCCAAACAATTTAAGACTCTGCTTATCCACACAATTGCCTTGGTTATTAGCCTTCCAATGAAACTTACTGAAAGATGTAGCCTGCACCCATTGCATAATAAAATAATGATTTTTGAGGTGAGGAAGATGAGAAAGTGCTGTAGGAGAGGTGCAGGGAGATATTCTACCACTTTCCCCACTTGCATCGCTCAACAGGTGACTTTGTTTATGCCAGTAATTTTCATTCATTTTTACACACTAAGTGTGAGATCTGCAAGTAAGCAGAACACCTGCAGGATGAGGAGAACTGGCATACTTCTAATGACCTGGAATATTCCAGTCTTTCATTATCTCTTTGAACATAGAAAGCAACTCTGGAAACTAAGCCAGTGGAGACTCCAATGCAGTTATTTCAGGAAGACTGAAAATGAAAAAAGCTGCCTCTCCTTTCACCCATCCCCTGGTTTTCCTTTCCCTTCACACAGTCCTTAAACCCTCTTCTTCTGTGTTCATCATTCCCAAATCTGTGGAAGAGTCCCCTATCACTGGGAACAGAAACGAGACTTCCAAACCTTTCCGCTTCACTCCTTCAATACAAATTAGAAATGAATGCCACCTGCCTTGACAGCATCAATTCTTATTATTCCCTCTTAAGCACAGGAGATCTCCCACAGGGCTGCCTGTCCCTGTCACCGTGTAGGACAGCAGCCACGAGGGATGCTGAGGAGCCAGGGTTACACCATCCCTCCCTCGGCTCTGGCTGTCATCAGCTGAGGGTCTCTGAGGGCTGGCTGTCATCCAGCCACCAGAGAGACATTGGTAAACGTTTCTCACCTCTGTTTTTCAACCTCATCATGATTTTACTGTCCACAGTTCTCTACCAGGGGGCCCGCAGTTGGACTAAATGCTCTGGAGAAGTCCATCCTTTGTTTCACCTTGCAGCCTGATGATTTCACTGAATGCTCATCCTGCCCTGGACTGTGAGAAATAGTAAATAACCATTCTCCATTCTTTTTTGTGCTATCTGAAATATTATAAATTTGGAAACGTGCCCAATTCCACCACTTTTCTATTTTCCATGAAAAGCCTTGGTCACTGCCTCCCCCTGTGCCTCCATACGGTGATAAACATCTGGAAAAATTCAACTACACTGGACATTTGTGCCAAAGTCTGGCTCTCAACCACTATAGAAGTCCCCAGCCAGGCAGTGACAGCATCAGTGTTGGACTGTGTTGAAAGTGAAATCTTTAGGCTGGAGGAAGTGACCTCATTTAAAATTTTTACTAATGGCCTTGGCACAAAAAGAAGGAAAGTTTGAGAGAAATATGCTGTTGACATGGAATTAGGCTGTCCTGGCTCTGCAGAGGACTGGGCTGTCATGGTGAAATGAATGAGTAGCCTTAGGGAGTAGAAGGGAGAGGGTGCAATTTAAAAATAGGAATCTAAGGTCATGTGCTTAGAGAGAAATGAGGATTTCTGCTCCACGCTGGATGCTCCCTGAATGGGAACATCCCATAAAGAGGCCATGGGGTACTCATGATTCATAGCAGTAGGACAGGGCCAAATGAAAGGCAAGCATGTCATTAAACTGAATGAGAAGAGGCAAGACTAACAGAAACATGGGAACAAGAAAAGACTGGCATTATTTTAAGAATAACCAGTGAATCCCTGAATTGAATTTAATATAGCCTCCAGCTCATCCTCACTCGAGGATCATGTGCAGACAGAAAACACTGTCTGATTGCAGGAACTGAAGAAGCCTGCCCTACAAAAGAAGGCTAGAAGGACTGGGTTTTTTAGTATAGCAGCATGATGGTGAAGGAAGGATATGAATGCTGTGTATAAAGACATTAGGAGGATAAATAACACAAAGGAAGAAGAACTACTGGCTATAGGCCAAAGTTGGCATGAGAGCAAATAGCAGTAAACTGGTTCCAAATACATTTAGGAAGAAAAAAACAGTTTTTTTTCTTTTCTTTTTTTTTTTCTTTTTTTTTTTGGGGGGTGGTGGGGGAGCAACAGAGGAGTGAAAACAGGAACAACTTTTCTCTTACAGTGGATGGGACGGACAACCTAACAGACTCGACAAACTCATGACTGCAAGGTGTGGGGAACAGGATTTGCAAGACCAGAAGGTGCTTTGCCATCCTGCATTCCCACAGGCTTATTTTCATTACTACCTACCCTAGGAATGCTGGGTTTTGGCAAACAGTACTAATGCACAGCTCCAACAATGGAAGACTTAGCTGCTGCAATCTCCCTTCTCAAGCAAAGATACTCTATCCGTCTTCTCCTTTTGCAAAACATAAAACAAAAGTAAATTAAATTTACTATTGTGTAACACAGCTTCTGCTTCCTGAATTATCCTTTATTAAAACATTTGCTATCCAACATGAAAAATGCATAGTATAAAATTTCCATTTCATTGCCAAGTATTGAAAATATTTTTTGCCATCCGAGACTTGCTGCTGCTAAGGGCAGCTCACCTGCAAACAGCCAAAGAAATTTAGAAGAAAACAATCATGTAATTTGTATTTAAACATACTGTATCATACATCCCTAGGCAATAAACTATTCCTTCTCACAGTATTATATCAGAGTGACTCCTATTAAAAGCCATACCTACTTGATTCCCTCTTCTGACACTCTCTAATTTACCACCAATAAATGTTCATAAACAGTTTGACTGAAAAATCCATACAGCCATTTCAGCTTTATTTTAAGTTCCATTTAATGTCCCTCAAAAATGATTTCATCAATGTGTTTCCATTAACTGGTTCTCTGCCCAATAACTTAATTCCACACAATCAGTCAGGAACTTACAAAGCATATGACAGCATCTACCTAAAATGTTCTGAATCACCATGAAGATTCACTCAGTGAATGCTTTCCCCTCCCACCCTCCCTCATACATAAACTGAGGGGGAACTTCATGTGAGAGCAAAAAACAAGAACCTTAAGCAAGGAAACATTCAGTATTCAATCTCAGTGATTATTTTTGCTTCCCTTCCTCCCTTCCTCCCTTCCTCCCTTCCTTCCTTCCTTCCTTTTTTTCTCTTTTAGAATTGAAACAAGGAGCACAGGAGAACAGGTCTGCCAAATAAGACCTTGCAATTTCTTTGGTACTTCAGGTATCTTAGAAGCCAACTGCCACATCCAGGACATAAGCCTGGTTGCAGTTTGCAAGTGAGTTGCTGGAGTTACAACCACCTTCTTGATCTCCTCTTGCCTCTCTCTCCCTTGCTCTATGCACTTTTGGCAATCACCTTGCTTTATAATATGAATCCAAAATACATGAAATCAGACTGTGTTTTTTATCAAGT